TGATGTTCTGTTTAGCTCTGCAGTTTTGTTTTGTTCATGTAATCTGTTGTCATCTTTGAGTTCTTGTTTATATTCTTTTTTTTTTTTAAAGACAGGGTTTCACCATGTTGGCCAGGCTGGTCTTGAACTCCTGACCTCAGGTGATCCGCCCACCTTGGCCTCCCAAAGTGCTAGATTACAGGCATGAGCCACCACGCCCAGCCTATATTATTATGATTATTATTTTTGAGATAGAGTTTTTCTTGTTGCCCAGGCTGGAGTGCAATGGCTTGATCTCAGCTCATCACAACCTCCACCTCCCAGGCTCAAGTGATTCTCCTGCCTTAGCCTCTTGAGTAGCTAGGATTACAGGCACGTGCCACCACGCCCGCCTAATTGTTTGTATTTTTAGTAGAAACAGGGTTTCACCATGTTGGCCAGGATGGTCTCCATCGCTTCACCTTGTGATCCACCTGCCTTGGCCTCCCAAAGTGCTGGGATTACAGGCGTGTGCCACTGTGCCCGAGCCTTTTTTTTGAGATGGATTCTTGCTCTGTTGTCCAGGCTGGAGTGCAGGGACAAGATCATCGGCTCACTGCAACTTCTGCCTCTCAGGTTCAAGTGATTTTTCTGCCTCAGCCTCCTGAGTAGCTGGTACTACAGGTGCACGCCACCACCACCAGCTATTTATTTATTTATTTTTTTGATATGAGTTTCGCTCTTGTAGCCCAGGTTAGAGTGTAATGGTGTGATCTCGGCTCACCACAACCTCCGCCTCCCAGGTTTAAGTGATTCTCCTGCCTCAGCCTCCCAATTTAGCTAGGATTATGGGCATGTACTACCACACCCAGCTAACTTTATATTTCTAGTAAGGATGGAGTTTCTCCATGTTGGTCAGGCTGGTCTCGAACAACTGACCTTGGGTGATCCACCCACCACTGTGGCCTCCCAAAGTGTTGGGATTATAGGCGTGAGCCACCGCACCCAGACTTTATTCTTATGAAGCATTTGTGTCAGGAGTCCCCAAGACACCTCCAAGGTTTGATGATGCACTAGGAGGACCCAAAGGACTCAGTGTAGTCATACTCACAGTTATGATTTATTACAATGAAAGGAAACAAAGGAAAAAGGTCCATGGGGCAATGTCTAGAGAAAAGCAGGAGCGAACTTCCAAAAGTTCTTTTTTTTTTTTTTGAGATGGAGTTTCGCTCTTGTTACCCAGGCTGGAGTGCAATGGCGGGATTTCGGCTCCCCGCAACCTCCGCCTCCTGGGTTCAGGCAATTCTCCTGCCTCAGCCTCCTGAGTAGCTGGGATTACAGGCACGTGCCACCATGCCCAGCTAATTTTTTGTAGTTTTAGTAGAGACGGGGTTTCACCATGTTGACCAGGATGGTCTCGATCTCTTGACCTCGTGATCCACCCGCCTTGGCCTCCCAAAGTGCTGGGATTACAGGCTTGAGCCACCGCGCCCGGCCCAAAAGTTCTTTTCTAATGAAGTCACCCAGCATGTGCCAAATTTCCCCCGCCATGAGTTATGACCACAAGTGTGAAATGCCATGCACCGGGGAAGCCAGCGTGAGTCTAAGAGTCCAGGAAATTTTTATCAGTGTTCAGCCACGCATCAAAATTTCAGGCACTCTAGGAAAGCGTAAGTCAGGCGCAGTGGTTCACGCCTCTAATGCCAGCACTTTGCGAGGCCGAGTTGGGTGGATCATTTGAGGTCAGCAGTTTGAGACCAGCCTAGCCAAAAAGGTGAAACCCCGTCTCTACTAAAAGTACACAAATCAGCTGGCTGTGGTGGTGCATGCCTGTAATCCCAGCTACTCGAGACTGAAGCAGGAGAATTGCTTGAACCTGGAAGGCAGAGGTTGCACTCATGCCACTCACTCCAGTTTAGGTGACAGAACAAGACTCTTCCTCAAAAATAAATAAATAGAGGAAATCAGCATAAACTGTGTTGTTTGTACAAACAGTTTAGGCACAGTGAACCACCCTTGTCAGTTAGGAAATGGTGAGAGGCCTCTCTGAATCCAAGTTCCCAGATGCCAACTTTGCAAACAGCCCTTTCTAAGGGCAGTAGTCTCAGACCTGCAGTTCTACTTCTTAACAGCATCTGCCAGAAAAGTCCTAATTCTTGTTTTTGATATGGGGTCTCACTCCGTCACCCAGGCTGGAGTGCAGTGGTGCCATCTTGGCTCACTGCACCTCCGCATCCTGGGATCAAGCAATTCTCCTGCCTCAGTCTCCCAAGTAGCTGGAACTACAGGCGCGCACCACCATGGCTGGCTAATTTTTGTATTTTTAGTAGAGATGGGGTTTCGCCATGTTGGCCAGGCTGGTCTCTAACTCCTGACCTCAGGTGATCCGCCGGCCTCAGCCTCCCAAAATGCTGGTGCTGGGAATGACAGGGGTGAGGCACAGGGCCAGCCCTGTTTTAAAGTGTATCACATTTGATATTAGTACAGCCACTTCAGCTTTTTTGGTTACTGTTTGAACGTTGTATCTTTTTGGATCCTTTTACTTTCAATCTGTTTTGTTTCTTCTAATTTAAAATGTTTCTCTTGTACCTAGTTCATTGGTGGAGCATGGATCATGTTTTCTTTTTTAATCCTTTCAGTCAGTCTGCCTTTTTTTTTTAGACTGAGTTTCACTCTTGTCACCCAGGCTGGAGTGCAATGGTACAATCCCCTCGCACTGCAACCTCTGCCTCCTGGGTTCAAGCAGTTCTCCAGCCTCAGCCTCCTGATTAGCTGGGATTACAGGTGTGTGCCACCACGCCTGGCTAATTTTTGTATTTTTAGTAGAGACGGAGTTTCTTCATGTGGGTCAGGCTGGTCTCAAACTCCCGACCTCAGGTGATCCGCTCACCTTGGCCTCCCAAAGTGCTGGTATTACAGGTGTGAGCCACCATGCCCGGCCGAAGTGGTGGATTTTTTTTCTCAGAAAACCTATTCCATTACTTTTCCAGAAATCAAATTTGCACAAGTTAACTAAAATAAATATTTATATTCTTTTTTTTTTGTTCTGAGGTCTTATTTATTTTTTTGAGATGGAGTTTCACTCGTTTCCCAGACTAGAGTGCAATGGGAAGATGTCGCTTCACTGCAACCTTTGCCTCCCAGGTTCAAGTGATTTTCCTGTCTCAGCCTCCTGAGTAGCTGGGTTTACAGGTGCCTACTACCACGCCCTGCTAATTTTTGTATTTTTAGTAGAGACAGAGTTTCACCATGTTGGATAAGCTGGTCTTGAACTCCAGACCTCAGGTGATCTGCTCACCTCTGCCTCCCAAAGTGCTGGCATTGCAGGCGTGAGCCACCATACCTGGCCCCTTGTTGATTTTTAAAAATGTAACTTTAGCTTTACATGTTGAGAAAAACCAGAAAATGTAGATAAAACATAACTAAGAAAATAATTCCATGTTTTCCTTCTGTTCAGAGTTCACTACTATTAGCCAAACGCAGTGGCTCACACCTGTACTCCCAGCATTTTGGGAGACTGAGGTGGCTGGATCACTTGAGTCCAGGAGTTCAAGACCAGCCTGGGCAACATGTACCCTGTCTCTACAAAAAATACAAAAATTAGCCAGGCACGCTGGCATGTGCCCGCAGTCCCAGCTACTGGGAAGGCTAAGGTGGGAGAACCACCTGAACCCGGGAAGTTGAGACTGCAGTGCTGCAGTCTCTGTTGCCCAGGCTGGAGTGCAGTGGTGAGATCTCGGCTTACTGCAACCTCCACCTGCCAGGTTCAAGTGATTCTCCTGCCTCAGCCTCCCGAGTAGCTGGGATTACAAGCGCCCACCACTACACCCGGCTAATTTTTTTTATTTTTAGTAAAGAGGAGGTTTCACCATGTTGGCCAGGCTGGTCTTGAACTCCTGACCTCAAATGACCCACCTGCCTTGGCCTTTCAAAGTGTTGGGATTACAGGCGCGAGCCACCACGCCCAGCCGGTGTTTTTCTCTTTCCTAGAGGCAGGATCTCACTCTGCGCCCAGCCTAGAGTGCAGTGGCACGATCTCAGCTCACTGTAACATTGAACTCCCCAGCTAAGGCGATTCTCCTGCCTCAGCCTCCAGAGTAGCTGGGATCACAGGTGTGTGCCACCACACCTGGCTAATTTTTTTTTTTTTTTTTTTTTGTAGAGATGGTGTCTTGCTATGTTGCCCAGTCTGGCAACACGGGATCCTCCCGCCTCGGCCTCCCAAAGCGCCACACGTGAGCCACCGTACCCAGCCTATATTGCTTTATATTTCTTAAATTTGGCTTTGTGGTGGGCGGGGAGGTCTGTTTCCTTTTTCTTTTCTTTTTTTTTTTTTTTTTTTTTAAGATAGAGTCTTGCTGTGTTGCCCAGGCTGGAGCGCAGTGGCACAGTCTCGACTCACTGCAACCCGATCGCGCGCGCCACCATGCCCGGCTAATTTTTGTATTTTTAGGAGAGAAGGGGTTTCACCACGTTGGCCAGGCTGGTCTCGAACTCCTGACCTAGTGATCCGCCTGCCTCGGCCTGCCAACGTGCTGGGATTACAGGCGTGAGCCACCGCGCCCGGCCTCGCCTGAGTCCTACTTTGATTCCCGGCAGTCCTTCCGCAGCAGCTCCGTGGAATCGGCCCAAGACTGTCGCTGCACGCGGTGGGACAGACAGGAGGCAGCTCTTCAACCGCCGCTGACCGCACAGAGATGCGTCCGCATCCCCAGCGGAGCCGGACTCGCCACTGGACCCCCAGGTCAGTGTGGGCGCGACCACCCGCCGCGTTACGAAAGCGCTCCCGCCGGGCGGGTCTCCAGCGGCGGCCGGGCGAGTCGTCTCCCGTGGGAGCGGGTGCGTGCGTGCTAGCGGGCGAGCGAGCGTGCGTGCGTGCGTGCGTGGTGCGTGGTCCGTGCGTGGTGCGTGCGGCGGAAATCCCGCCTCCCGGCTCCCGCGGTTGGCCTTGGCCGCAGCCCGTGGGTTCCAAGCAGGAAGATGAGCGGGGCTGCAGGAAGCGGGGATCGGGAGCAGCGGCGAAGGGCTCCTCTTCCCCATTGGCTGCGCCCGCGGAGCAGCCTCGCTGCGATTGGCCGTACGCGGGGGGCGGCAGTCCCGCGTCGGCCCGCCCCTCGGGCCGCTAGAGGCGCCGGGATCGCGGGCGCCGGCTGAGCCAGCGGCGGCCGGGAGGCTGTCTCCGCACGCCGGCGGGGCGAGGCGCCCGGGCCCTGCGCGTCAGGTCCTGCTCGGGGGCAGCGGGTCGGCCGGCGGCGGGGGAGGCGCGGGCGCGGGCGCGGGCGGGGGCGCGGGGCGGGCGGGCGGCCGGGCGGCCGAGCCGGAGGGGCGGGCGTGGGCGCGGCGGCCGCACCGGGGCCTGCGCGGACCGCCCGCGGCGCAGCTCTTGGTGCTGGTGGCCGCGGGTGTTTCCGCAGGCGATCCTCCGGTCGTTTGTTGCACTCCCCCGCCCTGCTGTGGGGCACAGCGCAGATGCGTGGCGCTGTCACTTGTCGTGACACCGAGGGGCTGCCTGTCGTGTTCCTTCTGGATGTGAGGGCAGGGGGATGACATGGTGATTCGGCCTCCCGTGACCGTCCGCTCTCAAGGTCTCGCCGGCGTGGTGCAGAGCCCGGCGCGCCCCGCCTGCCTTGGAGGGAGGCTTTCCTTGGCCTCCCTCCCTCCCCTCCCGCAGCTCTTCACTTTTCTGTTCTTTTTTTTTTTTTTTTTTTCCCCCTGCATTAAACCTTTCCGGAGTGTCTTTGTAAAATAACAGAAAGCGTTAGGTCTTCAACATTTATGTTTACTTGCAGGGCTGAGAACTGGGAGGAAGCTGGAGAAAAGATGTCTTCTGAGCCTTTCTGTTTGGCTGCCCAGGCTCGCCTTGACTCCAAATGGTTGAAAACAGATATACAGGTGGGGTTTGACATGTCTGTTTCTTGATCTGTTTCTGCTTCCTTATTTAAATTTCTGGTTTAAGGCTTTTTAAACTTTTTTAAGGCTTTTTTTTAGGGTATGTAAGGGGCAGTCAGTTGTATCTTGCTATATTAGAGGAGCAGGTTTATTTCCTGTAACTTAAAATGTAACAGTCTTTATAGCTGTTTTTGTAGATTGTGCTTGGCTGCCTTTTAATTAGTTCTTTGCAAGCGCACAAAACTTGAGATCTGTTAATAGTTGGGCATTTTTTTTTTCCTGTTTATTATTACTGGTTAAGAAATCTGCCACACCCCTAACCGTATGATGGTGACTGTCGTTTGTTACTGATAGTTGTTGAGCCGTTTAGTTAACTGTGGAGGGGAACGTTGGAGAAGTAAGTTGCAGTAATTATGGCCTATAGAAACTCACTCGTTTTATCAGGTCTTGTGTTTGTGTTTCTGGAGAGACGAGTTAGTTCAGTTGAGCTGTTTGTTTTGTATTTGTGACTCCTTGTTAAGAGGAGTGCTTGGATTTTCACGTCAAGAACATGAGGAAACAATATTGGTAGATAATTGCAAGCTTGTGAGGACGTTATCAAATAAATAGTAGCAGTAATATTTCATTAGACAATTCTTTACCTCTAAGCTACTTTTATTTGGAAATGGCTTGGAAAAACTACTTTTGCAACTCCTTATCAGGAGCAAAAAGAAGTGTTTGAAGTATTTTGTGTGTGTATATTTTTCTCCTCCCTGAGGTTAACCATTTTAGGTATTTCTCAAGTAATCTGCCTTTTATAACACAATCTTACATAGTACATGACTGTTCATCAAAAATTATGTAGGCTATAAGCAGTAGTTGATCATAGATGCTTACACTGAAGTGTTATTGCCCCTGCCCTGTTTTTTCCTTTTCTCTTTTTTTGAGACAGAGGCTCGCTGTGTCACCAGGTTGGAGTGCAGTGGTGCCATCGCGGCTCACTGCAACCTCTGCCTCCTGGGTTCAAGCAGTTCTCCTGTCTCAGCGTCCCAAGTAGCTGGGACTACAGGTGTGTGCCACCATGGCTAATTTTTTGTATTTTTAATACAGATGGCGTTTCACAGTGTTGGCCAGGATGGTCTTGATCTCTTGATGTTGTGATCTGCCCACCTCGGCCTCCAAAAGTGCTGGAATTACAGGTGTGAGCCACTGTGCCCGGCCTTCTTTTTCTTTTTAAACAGGTGTTGAGCGTTGTTAGATATTAAAGTCTGGTGTTTGGAACTATGATGTGGGGCCAGGCACCATGGCTCATGCCTGTAATCCCAGCACTTTGGGAGGCCAAGTCGGGTGGATCATGAGGTCAGGAGTTGGAGATCAGCCTGACCAACATGGTGAAACCCCATCTCTCCTAAAAATACAAAACTAGCCAGGCGTGGTGGTGCATACCTGTAATCCCAGCTACTCAGGAGGCTGAGGCGGGAGAATCACTGGAACCCAGGAGGCAGAGGTTGCAGTGAGCTGAGATGATGCTGTTGCACTTCAGCCTGGGCAATGAGAGCAAAACTTTGTTTCAAAGAAAAGAAAAAAGAAGCTTGTTGTGGATGATGGGATTGTTATGCAGGAGTTGATGTTAAGTAAGACGGCACAGAGAATGGGGTCAAGAATTGGTATAGTTACTCTTTGTTTCTCTTTAAACATTTCCTTTTATTTAGCTATAATGGCGTTTTTTTCTTTGTCATGTTAAGTGGGTAGGAGAGGTGAGAGATGAGTAATTTTGTATTTCTGAAATCTTGAGATTCAGGCAAACTTGTTTAAAAAAATTTTTTTTTTTTTTGACATGGAGTCTTGCTCTGCCGCCAGACTGGAGTTCAGTGGCACGATCTTGGCTCGTTGCAACCTCCGCCTCCCAGGTTCAAGCTATTCTCTTGCCTCAGCCTCCTGAGGAGCTGCGATTACTGGCACATGCTACCATGCCTAGTTAATTTTTGTATTTTTAGTAGAGAGAGTTTCACCGTGTTGGCTAGGATGGTCTCAATCTCTTGACCTTGTGATCCGCCTGCCTTGGCCTCCCGAAATGCTGGAATTATAGGCGTGAGCCACTGTGCCCTGCCTGTTTTAATTGTTTTTATATTAGTGTTTATGTATTTTGAGAAACTTATTGGAGTAGAGGACTTTACCTAATGAAGCTTTTTTCTTAGTTTAATAACTGCTAAACATGAGTTCTAGTGTCTTGATCTAAAAGCAGTTTAATGCTGAATTGAGTTCCTATGATGAGTTAGGCAGATAAACACACAGTGAAGCAGCATTTATGTCTTAGAGGGCCTGTTGTTTTCCTTGACCCTTCTTACACATTTGCAATATGATTAGAAAGTTGTGGGGTTTTTTCTTTTGTTTGTTTGTTTGTTTTGAGACGGAGTCTTTGTCGTCCAGGCCGGAGTGCATTGGTGCAATCTTGGCTCACTGCAACTTCCACCTCCTGGTTTCAAGCGATTCTCCCACCTCAGCCTCCCGAGTAGCTGGCATTACAAGTATGTGCCACCATGCCCTACTAATTTTTATATTTTTAATAGAGATGCAGTTTCAGCATGTTGGCCAGGCTGGTCTTCGGACCTCAAAGTGATCTGCCCGCCTTGGCCTCCCTAATTTTCTAAACTCTTCCTAGGGGTAAGGGAAATGACTAGGGTTTGGATAGTGTGCACTAGAGGAAAAGTGTGTTACAGGTATAAGGAGAATGAAAAAGTGATTGCTAACCTGTGTTTTATATGTCTCCAGCATTGCTTGTTAAATGCGAGGAATGAATGTTGTTGTTTTACCCCAAGGAATGAGACATGGTTTGCCCCTTTGGAGAGCTTCTTTTCAGACAGGAATTGCAGATGGAAACCTTGTGCTCACAGGTTTTACCCTTATCTTGTGGAGGATGACTCTTCCACCTGGAGTGGGAAGCACTCCACTATTTCAGACTTTTGTATTGGAAATGGAGTTGACACCTGGTTAATGAATAATACATGGGGTAGAAAGATGTTTCTTAGCCATAGGATTGATCAGATCTGTTTTCTACAGCTAGTTTTGTTTGAAATGCCCTTGAAAGTTTTAGTAACTTTAGAAAGGAAGAGTTTTGGAGTGTGAAAACTTTTATTGCTTATGTATTACAGAGAGCACTGATAATCAGCTTTTTGATTATCGACATTATTTGGATGCATCAGGCCTAGGAACCTACATTCAGCAACCTCTAATGGAGGGTTCATTTTATGCCAGGCATATGTATCTGGTTTTTACGTATAAACAGTTTAATTGTTCAACACTCTTTTCTGCTGGTGTGTGGAGTTATTGAATCTCTGTATTTTCCTTCATGACCCTTGTGAAGAGCAATCAATTATAGCGCTAAGAGATGTTAGCCACATCACTTTTTATTTTTACAGTAAAAGTACTTCTAATCCGACGTGTTTGGTAGTTTTTTAGCAAGCCAAAAAGTCAGTTAAGCAAAGGAACTATAAAAAACAGTATTTGATACCTTAAAGGCTTTTTATTCTTGAAACATATGCTTGTTTGGCAGTCTTGTTGTAAGGTAAAAGGGCAGGTCTTTGAGCATGGGTCCAGAATGGAGATATCTTAAAGTGGTACCTGAAATTAGAGATGCGTGAAGCAGTTTTGTTTTTAAACATTTTATTTTGCAATAATAATAGACTCTCAGGAAGTTGTAAAGAAAGTAGACAGGTCGTTGTACATGTACCCGTACTACCCCAGTGGTTACATCTTGGGGATGTATGTAACTTACACATGTAACTATGATACAGTATAAAAACCCAGGTACAATATGTGTGCATAGTGCTGTGCCACTCTCTCCTCGTTCTGTAAATATAACCACTACCACAAGTACTATGCAGAACTGTTTCATCACTATGAACATCTTTCTCCTGCTTTTTCTCTTCTGCCACTGTCTCTAACTCCTGGCAACTACTCATCTGTTCCCCATCTCTATAATTTTGTTATCGTGAGATTACCATATGATAGGTGAGCTTCGGAAATGAGTTTGTTTACTCAGCATATTGCCCTCAGGTCCATCAAGGTTGTTTGTTGAGTACATCAGTAGCTAAACTGGGACCGTTTGTCTCTTCATCTAAGCAATTAAAAATGAATAAGCATAAATGTAAGCTTTTAGAGTTAACCTTATTGAATGTAAATATTGTCACTTCATGTTTAGAAATACCAGGAGATGGGCTGGGAGCAGTGGCTCACTCCTATAATCCCAGCACTTTGGGAGGCCAAGGAGGGTGGATCACCTGAGATCAGGCGTTCGAGACCAGCCTGGCCAACATGGTGAAACTCTGTCTCTACTAAAAATGCAAAAATTAGCTGGGCATAGTAGCGTGCACCTGTATTCCCAGCTACTTGGGAGGCTGAGGCAGGAGAATCGCTTGAACCTGGGAGGCGGAGGTTGCAGTGAACCCAGATCACACCACTGCACTCCAGCCTGGGCGACAGAGCGAGACTCTGCCTCAGGGAAAAAAAAGAAAATGAAAAAGAGGGATACTAAATAAGGCAGCTTAGGGTCAGTGCACTGTGGAGGTGTGTGTAGAATCCTGGGCCTCCAGAGCAGGGCATCACCTGTTCTCTCCTAGAGCTCAGTTCCTTCTGTGCTGTGTCATTTGCACTCTCCACCCCCAGTATTTAGAGTCCCTGTTTCTCTCCTCTGCCATAGTATTTTGAGAAACTTTTCAAGACTTGGTTCAAAATCTCTATCTAGCAAACGTCTCCACATTTTCAAATTAGGGTAAAATTGTAATGGTTTCTTGTGATGACTTGCATGTCTGTAGAATTGGTGGCATTGCTCCTTTTTTAATTCATGATTTTGGTTATTTTGCATCTTCTCTATGTGTTGGATCAATGTCAGGTTTTTATAAATTTTATTAGTCTTTGTTATTTGATTAATTAATTAATTAATTTTAAAAAATTGAGACATGGTTTCAACATGTTGGCAGGGCTGGTCTCGAACTCCTGACCTCCGGTGATCCGCCTGCCTCGGC